CAGACTAGAGAGCCCAGATATAAACCCAACCATATGTGGTCAATTCATATATGAGCTGTGGACATACAATGGGGAAATGACAGTCTCTTCAACAATTGGTGTTGGCATAACTGGACATCTACATGCAAGAGAATGAAACTGGATTATTGTTTAACCCCATACACAAAAGTATATTCAAAATGGATCAATGACCTGAATGTAAGTCATGAAACCATAAAACTCTTAGAAGACAACATAAGCAAAAATCTCCTGAATATAAACATGAGCAACTTCTTCCTGAATGCATCTCCTCAAGCAAGGGAAACAAAACCAAAAATGAACACATGGACTACATCAAACTAAAAAGCTTCTGTATGGCAAAGGACACCATCAGCAGAACAAATAGGCATCCTACAGTATGGGAGAATATATTTGTAAATGACATATCTGACAAGGGGTTAACATTCAAAATATATAAAGAATTTACATGCCTCAACACCCAAAAAGCAAATAACCTGATTAAAAAATGGGTGGAGGATATGAAGAGACAATTCTCCAAAGAAGAAAGTCAGATGGCCAACAGGCCCATGAGAAGGTTCCACATCACTAATCATCAGGGAAATGCAAATTAAAACCACAATGAAATATCACCTCACACAAATTAGGATGGTCAGCATGAAAAAGACTAAGAACAACAAATGCTGGTGAGGATGCGGGGAAAGAGGAACCCTCCTACACTGCTGGTGGGAATGTAAACTAGTTCATCCTCAAAAAACTAAAAATAGAAATACCATTTGACCCGGTAATTCCACTCCTAGGAATTTACCCAAAGCGAACGTCTTCTCATATTCATAAAGACATATGCACCCCTATGTTTATCGCAGCTGTATTTACCATATCAAGCAACCTAAGTGTCCATCAGTAGATGAATGGATAAAGAACAAGTCATACATATACACAATGGAATATTATTTGGCCATAAGAAGAAAAGAAGTCCTACCATTTGCAGCAAATGGATGGAACTGGAGGGTATCATGCTCAGTGAAATAAGCCAGGCGGAGAAAGACAAGGACCAAATGATTTCCCTCATTTGTGAAGTATAACGACAAGGGAAAACTGAAGGAACAAACAGCAGCAGACTCACAGACTCCAAGAAAATGCTAGTGGTCACCAAAGGGAATGGGCTAGGGAGGGTGGGTGTGAAGGGAGGGAGAAGGGGATTAAGGGGAACTATGATTAACACATGTTAGGGTGCAGGCTTCCGAGGCTTCCCCAGAGAACAAACTACACAGGCATAGAGATGTAAATTCAAGCAAAGTCTTTATTCAGCCAACTAGTTGGGGTCCAAGTCAGCCCGATGCAGCGGGTCTCAACAAGGACCCCGAGCACTCAGAGCCAAGGGTTTATATAGCAATTTCAAAGCACTTAACTCATAGCAATTTTCTATAACTATACATTATTCTTGCAAGACATATATCCTGGGGTTAAGCAAGGGCAGGGTAAGACTACTCCTCAATGGTTAGGGAGGTTCTGCACGATAAGCTTGGTATGTAAGATTTACTGACCAAGGTTAGCTGACCAAGGGTCACAGCTGCCCACCACCCGGTGCTCATGATTAACTTGTTTTTCAAGGCCTTACCCAGTTCCAGTTTTTCTAAGTCACATACTCAGAAAATGGCTTCTAGGCCTTTAAGATGGCTATGCTTATGCTAACCTATTTCTATTCTTACACACACATAATGTAGGGGTGTCACAGGGAAGGCAGTATAGCACAGAGAAGACAAGTAGTGACTCTACAGCTCCTTACTACACTGATGGACAGTGACTTCAATGGTGTATGCTGGGGACTTGATAATATGCGTGATATGTTGTAACCACAATGTTGCTCATGTGAAACCTTCATAAGATCGTATGTTAATGACACCTTAAAAATAATAATAATAATAATAAAGATTGTATATCAATGATACTTCAATTTTTTAAAAATTAAAAAAGAAGGAAAGAAAGTGGCTCCTACCCTCTCTAGAAACTTGGAGCTAACTCCCTTGAAGTTTACATTTCAAGGATATGGCTCCCAGGTCCTTGACAAAGACATTTCTGGGCATTACATTACAAAGGATGTATTGAGTCTTCAAAAGGATTTACATTTACAAAGAGAGGCAAGAGTAATTACAAGTTTTCCAGAGTAAATGCTCAAGGAAAGTTGGGGAGGGAAATCTCTTAAACTGGAAGAATTAAGCCTCTTATTTTTAATTTGTGTTCATCCTTCCAATCTACTCCTTGTTTGATGCTCTAAATTACAAAAACCCACAGGTGCTGGGGGATGCAGGGAAGCATAAGGATAGGGTAGGATAAGGAAGGGAGTCACTAGGCAAAAGAGCTATTTGACAAAACATTGTGAGTATATGTATTGTAGGGTATGACTTCTGGAAGTAACAGTGCTTCTGCTCTGACGTCTTAAGAATCCCTTCTCTCTCACTGTCTTTCCCTGGGTTTTCTGAATCAGTTTTGAGTCTATTTATTAATTGTCACATTAGCCATGTTTGTTACATTTTGGAAATTGCTTGATATTGTAAGAGATAAAGTGTAGATATGCAGAGGACTGAAAATTAGGAGCTTTTTGTGGGGTAAATGACAGAATTTCCAGAGTCTCCGGCCTAGCCTTGGTTTATTTACATATAAATACGTGTTTGCAATTGCAGATCCTCCCGTGTATCTGGGGCAAGGGGTGGAGAGAAAACGGCCATTCTCTCCTCCTTTCCATTCCTGGTATATAATTGGTCTGGTGTCTGCCAATTACCAAGGACCTGCCAATGGAATTCCTCCCAGAAGGGGCAGTGGGAAATAGAGAGTGCACCCGTGGTTGCACAGCACAGTCAGGGCCAGGAGACAGACCTTGAAGAGCCTGGCCAGCAAGCTTGAGCAAACTGTGAGCAGTAAGAACAGTTTCTCCCAATCCACCTTTTCCTTTGACTTAATTCGGTTTCACTGGACTCATAGGGGACTCGCCCTGTACAAGGAACACCCATCCCCCCTGGAGCTACACTGCTAAAGAAAAAATTATTCAATGGCACAGTAAAGAAGACTTTATGCAAGAGTTGGAGATGGGTTGGTGGCAGGACTATTTCAATAGGTATAGGGACCACCACCATGCAGTCTTTCAGTGGGGAAGGGAGATTGGCCTCAACTCTGAAAACAGCATGGACAAATGGGCATTTATAGCTAAGGAGAAGGGTGCAGGTCAGTGGATGGAAAATTACTAAGAGGAAACATCAGGGGTGGGGGATTGTGGCTAAACTGTCCAGGCCAGGGTGATCAGACAGCCCCAAGGATGGTAGAGGAGGAGGAATCCAATCAGATATGGCAGGTTGGGGATTCCGGTTGAAATTCTGACAGTATTCTTGTGAAATTGGACAATGCAGAGACAAAGACCAAGTATAAAAGACAGGCTTAGTTGAAAAAGGGTTCAGGTAAGCATAAGTTGAGTTCAGTCGATGAAAGAATCGTTGTCAACTCTTCCCGCTAAAGTGTGAAGCACCTTAGTTTTTATTATTCTTAACAATGGCTACTATTTATTGAGTCCTTATTATGTTTTAGGCACAATGGTGTGTTATATTAGATATGTCTTTTAATCCTTCTGTTGCAGGTCGTGTTTGTTCTCCTTGGATCTTGTCCCACCGAAACAAAGAATTGAAAGGCAGAGACACCTTAGCAAAGCAGTGTGAAGGTTTTGTTTGAATCCACTCCAAGGGAGGAGTGGACCTGAATCAAGGTAGACAAAGGTCCTGATCCTTTAGGCTGGAGACCTTTTTATTACACTGGGGCTCGGAGGCACCCCTTTGATTAACAAGGTGAGGTCATTTGACTGACAGGTCCATTTATATAGCCACCCCTGTTGGTGCAGCAAGTACTTTCCCAGAATGTACACAGAAAAGCTGAGGCAGTCAACTGGCAATGTAAATTTTATTTTAATGAGATTATAATTATATGGTTTGGGCAGTTCTTTCTGTAAACCTTATCTTCCTGGCTGCTCACGTCTAGCTTTCTAAAACTTCTTACAGCCCTGCCAGGCAGATGTAACTATCTGTGGGTAAAACTGTAACATTTTCAGAATATCTTGCCTGGCTTTAGTACATCTGCATATCAATAGGCGTTCAGAGGTGGAAAAAAGTATGGCTTTAGTGCAATTGCATCCTTCCGCAGGGATGGAAAGAGGTTCATCTCCATATCAGCAGGTCATTACCTGGGCAAGGAGGGCTTATTTATACCTGAGAAGTGAGGGGAGGGCCGGTTTGCTTCTGCTGAAGAAAAGAGAAAAGGCCCTGGACTGTATGCAATAAACAGATTTTAAACTTTATTTCTCCTTTTGACTGATTTCGGTTTTTAGAGGTATTTTGCCCCGGGATTTCCTCTCTCCGGACTTACACTATCTCCAAGTCAAAGATGAGAAACAAACAAAAAATTAAGTGTCTTGTCTAGGATTCCATTACTACCCACCTACTGTGGTACACTGTAAATAGGACAGTTAAAGATAAGCAACAAAATTCGCCCCTAATCTCATGGCCTACCCAAGTTAACTGGGCCAGGCCCTCCCGCTGTCACCCCAGAAATGTCCGCCCCTCTGACCTGCCCCCAGGGCCGGCCAGCCCTACAGTCCCCAGCCTAGGTGAGCGGCTACATCACGCGGCCTTTCCCTGCTGGCGGAGGGCAACGGGGCGGAGTCTGGGGCCCCGCCCACCGACTCCTGCAGCCAATAGCGCCTGCGCCCTAGGGGGCTCCCTGCCTGGCTGCACACTCATTGGGCGCCTCCGGGGGTGGGGCAAGGCCCCGAGGCGCGCGTGGTGCCGAGGGGAGCGGGGCAGCCGCGCGCCAATTTGTGCGCCCCGGGCTCGCCCAGCCGGTCACGTGGCGGAAGCGCGGCCGGGCGCGCGTGTGTGCGGGTCTCGAACTCTGGTCGCGCCGGCAGCAGCGTGGGTCCTCGGTGTCGCCGGGCTGGTGCACGGGACCGCGTTCCGGTAGGTGGGCAGCTTCAGGTGCCAGGGCCGGCGCTCGCAGGTCGCTTCGGTGTCAGCGACTTCCCGGCGCTCGTCCCTCCGGGTCTGAGGATCAGGCAAGGAGCGCTTTATTAGTCCTGGGCTGAGGGGTCGCAGACTCGTGCGGCACGGGTGGTGGGCTCGGCCTTTGACACAGATGTGAAGGCTTATTGTTGATACAAGTGTCCGCTCCCCGCTGAGCGCTGTACCCGATGATCGCAGCCCTTCACCTCGCTACAATCTCCTCACAACAGAGCTGCAAGGTGAGTGCTGTCCTGTACCCCTTTTTAGAAATGAGGAAGGTGAGACTGGGAGAGAAGACCCACTTAGCCGGGACCCTGCAGGTGCAAAATGGTAGAGCGCGGAGTCGAACTCAAGTATCCGAAGACCGGGCTCTCAACAACTCCGTATATGGTTGCGGTGCTTTGGGGCGTGTGCGACCACCTCCCTCAGGGGCGGAGCTGCACCTGTTGTCTGCAGTCTCCCACCCGTTCTAGGAGGCAAATGCTGCATTGTACGGTTCTGGCGCGGTGCCCAGTGCTCCGAGGTACTGGAAGTCAAGTGACCTTGGTCAGCTGAGGCCAGCACAAACGTGCCTCAGTCAGGCAGTTGCTGGATCGGAAACACCAGTTCAGGTTCTTATAGAATCATATTTTTAATTTTTTATGCAGCGGAGGTAATTGTGCCTTTATTTAGTGCAGTGTCATGGGAAAGAGCTTTGAACTAAAGGTAAACTATAGAGTTCAGATTCTGTCTCTTCATATTATAGGGCTTTATGCCACTTAGCCCTGTGAGCCCCCATTTCCTCCTCAGCACAGTAGGGAACGCAAAATCTGTGTGTGAGACAGACAGATGGCATTCAGCAGGGCAGGTCCCTTGGGAGGTTCCTGGCTCGTTCCACTTGTGTGAGAGGCCCAGGGGAGATCTGGGGGCATGGGGAGGCTGGTAACCTTGGCAAGTGAGTTTGCTTACTAGGTCTGTTTCTCTGGGGTTGAGATGAGGATCATGTCACACGAGTGACAGTTCCCCAACAGACATATCCAACCCTGTAATGATAGTGAGGACTGAAGGGAGCTGTGTTCCCTGGGGTGCTCAGCAGGGGTTACTGAATGATATAAAGGTGGCCCCAAGGTCCCCCAGGTTTCTTGAATAATGGTAGTAGCTGATAATTTTCGAGTACTTGGCTCTATGCCTGGCACCGTTATGAGTGCTCTGTGTCTGGTACCTCACTTAACTCTCCCGACCTGCTTCAGAACTGTGTCTGTGCGCTACACATGAGGGGACTGAGACACAGAGGTGAGAATTAACTGGGCTATACATCAGGAAGCAGAGAGCGCACTTTGAACCCAGTGGGCCGCCTCTCGTGAGCTTCAGCTTGGCTTCCTCAGGTGTGGGCCTCACTTTTGGCAAGTGGGAGAATCTGAGGGCCCAGCTCAGAAGGTGCCCACCACCTGCTCTTTTATATAAGGAACCTTGGTCTTCTCTAGTTAGCTTTGCATTTCATGGATGGATTGAGAAATAGCCTAAGACTGAGGTTTCTGGAACATAGTTTGGAATTTGTAAAATATGTGCAGTCGAGGTCAAATCTGTTCTCCCATTGCTGCTCTCACCCATCCATGGGCTTTCATATCTCATCTCCTGTGCCTCTGCTTTGTTTCCCAGGCTTCAGCTCTATGGCCCTGATTTCTGACAAGTCAAACTTCTTCCCATTTCAGGGCCTTTGCCCAGGTGTTTACCCGCACCTCAGATCTCATGAGCTTTGCTCCCTTCCACTGCTCAGATCGCAGCTCAGGCAGCTTTCAAGGGCCAGTCTAAATAATCTCCCCATACATTTATTGCTCGTATAGTAATCATCACCTCTGAAATTATGTGTTTCTTGTTTACTTGTTTAGAGTGCTTCTCATGAGAGCAGGGCCTCTGCCTTGTTGACCCCTGTATTCTTAGTTCCTAGCTCAGTGCCTGGGACATAGAACTTGCTCAATATTTGTTGAAGGAATGAATGAATTCCTTGTCGGCCAATAGTAGTGGAGTAGACCTCTTAAATATCAAAAGCTTATTTTGAATTAAACATAGAATCACTATAGTATGATCCAGCAATTCCACTTCTGGGTCTATACCAAAACAATTGAAAGTGGGGACTTGACATTCATAGCTGCATTACTCACAATAGCCCGAAGGTGGAAGCAGCCCAAGTGTCAGCAATGGATGAATAACCAAAATATGATACACATGTCCAATAGAATACTATCCAGACTTTAAAAGGATGAAAATTCTGACAAATGCTACTTTGAAGACACTATGCTAAGTGAAATAAGCCAGTCACAAAAGAACAAATATTGTGTGATTCCATTTATGTGAGGTGCCTGAAATAGTCAAATTTACAGAGATAGAAAGTACAATGGGTTGAGAGAGAAGGGAATGGAGAGCTGTTTAATGGGGACGGGGTTTCCATTTGAGAAGATGAAAAAGTTCTGGAGGGGGATGGTGGTGAAGGTTGCACAACAGTGTGGATGTATTTAATGCCACTGAATTGGCTAAAATGGTAACGTTTATGTTATATATATTTTATCAGTTTTTAAAAAGTGAGAGAAGTTCAAGGTGTATTGTTTTTCAGCCAACCTCCAGACCTCAGGGAACGATGTTAAGGATGTCTTCCCTAAATACAGTACTAGCTAAAAATGATGATCTTCCCTCTGCATCTTAAAAAGTGCATTATCTCAGTATCTTTCTCCTCCTTACTTGTTTTACCAGCTGCCTGGGAATCCCTAAGCCCAGTGAGTTGACACATAATTTAATCATGATATTAAGGACCTTTGTCTTACTGTAATTCAGAACTCCTCAGGATATAATAGATTTAATTGACTTAATAGATATAATTGATATAATTGAAACAAGACAGAATCTTGAACTCTTTGAATAAAGAACTCAAACTTCTTCATGGTGAAGAAAAGCTTAATTTGGAGGGTATGGATTTAATAAGGGTATGGATTCAGTTCTCTATTTGGGGGATGATCCTGGGTGGTCATGGGATACAGGGCAGAAAGCTTCTTGAGGGGGGCAGTGAGCTGGGTGACATTGCTGGCCCAAGAAGTAGGGGACCACCACACACACAGCTCTCACCTGGGTTAAGAAGTAACTGGAACTCAGAATTAGAATTTCAGAGCAGGAAAAGATTTGCCTTGAGGGCAAAGGGCAGCAGGTTGTTGAGCTGATGTGAAATGAGTGGGAGCTCAGCTGAAGGCAGACTCTTTCCTTCTTCCTCAGCAGAGTGGATCTGAATGCCTGTGGCAGAAGGATCATAGGCTGACCCTCCTGGAAGGAGGGTGGTTCCAAATGGACTTAAGTTATCTGGTGGTTGAGAAATACGTTCTCTGTATTGCTGGCTACCACTGAGTCCTTTTCTTTTAACCTTGAGTAGTCAATATTTAAAAAGCATTTCTCATAAGGATTCTAGGAGTGGAGGGCCTATCTTGGCTCTTGTGTTTTTGTGGGTTTACCACTTGCTGAGGGCACATGCAGGGGTCTAGAGTTGCACTGGCCATTCTTGAGGGTAGAAATCAGCACAGAGAAGCCTTGGGCATAGTGTCACACCATTTACACTTGCTTCTTTCCACCTCTGATGGGCATGGGGACATGGTCAGCCCCGTGCAAGGCTGCCTGCCTGTCCTCTGCAAGGTGGTGCTGTGTTGCTGCAGAAGAGTTCTTGCATTGAAGTCCAAGTGTTTGCTGTTGCTTTGAGTTTTGCCGCCATGGTTGTATTTCTAATCATGTTGTGCCATTGTTAAAATAATGCCTGCTTTGAAAGCCCTGATTAGGAACTTCCTAGTTAAAGATTATTGGTAGTTTCTTCTTACTAGCTCTACCAGAGATTAAGAGGATTACTGTGATATGGGACTATTAGGCTATTTTATTTAATGGGAGCATTTGTCTAGCAAATTATACCGTGTGTGTACTTGCCTGGGGAAAACCACGCTCTTCCCGCTGTGAGTCTCCTTTACTGTCACACTGCTGCCACACTCATGACACGTCTGACTCCAGATGTGTGGATTTTCCACACGTGAGCAAGCCTGTGATACCAGATGGGTGTCCTGCAATCCAGTTCATTCTGACACTCACTGGAGTTAGCACAGGCCCCACTGGTTAAGGACTCAGTCCCACAAGACTGCTCCCTATTTCAGATAATAGCAAGTAGTAAGTCCTTGGGTTACCCACGATTTTTCTGTCCAACCTGGCTACAGATTGGAGGAACCTGGCTACAAAGCCCCTCTTTGGATTTGATCATTGGCTAGAACAGCTCATAGAACTCAGGGAAACATTTACTTACCTTGACCAGTTTATTATATAATAAAGACTGTAGCTTAAAGGACACAGTGGAACAGCCAGATGGAGAGGTACATAGGGCAAGGTCTGAGAGGGTTCTGAGCACAGGCTCCCCTGTGCCCACGGAGGTGGGGTGCAGCACTCTCCTGGTATGCAGATGTGCCCTCCTACCTGGAAGCTCCCTGAACCCCACACTTTTGGAATTTTTATGGAGGCTTCATCATGTAGGCATGATTGATGGTTCATTCCATTTCCAGCCCCACCTCCCTTCTCTTGAGGATGGAGGGTGGGGCTGAAAATTCCAAGCTTCTGATCACTGCTTGGTCTTTCTGGTGACCAGCCCCCATCCCGGGGCCACCCAGAGCCGCCTCATTAGAAAGACACTCCTGTTACCCGGGAAATCACGAGGGTCTGGGGAGCAGGGACCAACCATCCCACAGTGCTCTCAGGAAATGGGCTCTCATCACCTGGGCTCTTTCTGGAGTTGACTGTCCTCTGATCAGATGGGCCCACCCCAGCCCTGTGCAGCCCAGCACCAGCTCTTGTCCTCCAGGCACTTCCCTCCTTTCATCTGTGTGTGTTTCCCACACTCATTTGCTTGCAACTTGTCTTCCCCATGAGGGAAGTCACAAGGAGGCAGGCCCGGCCTGGCTGGTTCACGGCATCCCCAGAACCAGCACCATGGCTTGCATGGGGAAGGGCCTCAGTAAGTAGTTAGCAAATGAATGAATTTGAAATGAAGACTTAAATTAATGGGAAAGTACTGAAAGGCCACCAAAGGATTGATTAAAGGAGGTTAGTTCCTCTAAGTATTTATAAACTTTCACATTAGCAGAAATGCCACTGATCACAAGTTCTCAGTCTTTGTAGAAATGTGCATGAAGAAACATGCATTTTCCAGTTGGAAAACTAATGTTGGAAGTTTTTCCATTTTTAGGCAACTTTGAACAGAGTGATGGCGACTCCAGTTAGCAGAGCTCACAAGGATGCTGACCTGTGGTCCTCCCACAAAAAAATGCTGGTGCAGCCCCTGAAAGACAATGACATCGAGGTGAGATCTGTGGGGTCTTCACAGATGTTCCTAACTCACAGGCTCAGTGTAAATCCCTAGTTCTGATCATAAATAAACTTCACTGGGGACAGACTTATAGTTAGTATAAGAGTGCTGGATGTAGAGGCAGTGGCAGATGAAGTGCCTAAAAGTCCTTGAGGGTAAATTTAAATATTTCTGAGTTTGTAGCCGTGCAGAGCACTGTGCTGGCTGCTCAGAAGAAAGGGGGGAGGAGGTGGCTGTGGAGGTTTGAGCCTTTCCTTACGGTTCAGAGGAGTATATCTAGACACTGAGAAGTGTCTTTTATTTGTTTTTATAACAGCTTTATAAGTGAGATATTCACTTACCATACAAGTCACCATTTAAAGAGCACAATTCAGTGGTTTTTAGTATATTCACAATCAATTTTAGAACACTTTTATCCCCCCAGAAGGCTCAAACCCATTAGCAGTCACCTGCTAACTGCCAACCTGCCTCCTCAACTCCCCGGCCCCAGGCAGCCACTGGTCTACTTTCTGTCTGTGTGGGTTTATGTAAGGATCTTAGAGGAAGAGGAGCCCGTAGTGAAGTTCAGGGAGGAGGGACTGGGTGAGACGTAGGGATGAAAATAAAATGGCGAAAATAACAAGGTAAATGGTGGAATTCTTACTTTAAAGATCATTTTCTCTCCAATCATTTTGTTTTCCTTAATTCATTGTCTTCTATTAATTACTTCCCAGATGCTGCAAGTCTTTGAGGAAGATTCCCTCTAATCCTCAAATGCTGTGGGAGTCCTTTTGTTTGGTTACCTGGGTTATGGTCAGCCTCTGAGGGCAAAACATGGTCTATGTTAATATACGATCCATGTTAGTGTCCCTTCTCTGTACTTGGTTATTAGTTTGATCAGAGTGAAGTGTTAAACATCCAGATGGTTAGCATCTGCTTTCCTCTCATCAGGTTTACAACATAATTAAGAAGGAGAGTAACCGGCAGAAGGTTGGATTGGAGCTGATTGCCTCAGAGAATTTTGCCAGCCGAGCAGTTTTGGAGGCCCTAGGCTCTTGCTTAAATAACAAGTACTCTGAGGGGTACCCAGGCCAGAGGTACGTGACATCTTCAAAGGCCTGCTTCTGATGTAGCGACGTGAGGCACTGAGCATAGAATCTGAACAGTGTGGGGATTAGTTCTTCTCAACTAACCTTTCCACTGTGGGAACTTGTGTTCCCCAGCCGCCCTCCTAGCTCTACGATTCCCAGTGGGGCACAGCACTGCAATTCGAAAGGGGTGTGGTTAAAATTGCAACATTTCCAGAATCTCTCACCTGGCCTTAGTGCATCTCCTCAATAAGTGATTACAAGGGTGGGGGGAATGAGGGTATATCTGGACCAGAGAGATATGGTGGGGTCCCTTTTTTGCAGCCGGGTGGTGAGACACACAGGCGAGCAGAAGTGGAAGACTGCTAATAAGCAATAAATGGGTTTCTCCCACTTTCTTTCTCCTTTGACTGATTTCAGTTTCAAAGGTAATTTGTCCCGGGATAGGAGAAAGATTCCACCCACCCCCGGAGTTACAGGGGGTATACTCAGGGTCACTTTAACAGTCCATCTGGAGGCTTTGTAGAATATCAAGCTGGTCCATAGGAGGGTAGAGCTGCTGCGCTGTGCAAGCCTCTAGAAAAAGGCCAGCACTCTGAGTGCTGCCAGGGCAGGCTGTTGGTGCTCTGTGAGTAACGGGCCGGGAGTAAAACCACCTGTCAAACAGCAGCCTGCTTCTGCGCTGTAACTGATGGATTTGCCCATGCAGTGATTTTGGTCAACTCTTTTCCCCAGAGAAGCACAAGAAGGTTCACTTATTTTTTTTTTTAGTCATAATCAGGCAGAGATGATGATTACAGAATCTGACATGTTGTTTCTGTGAATTTGTACATTTGTGTCCCAAAGAACATGGAAGGAGAAGGGACTCCCGTGGAGGTGAACTGCCACTCTGTACTGAGGGGTCCCTGCAGCTTCCTGAGAAGGTCTGGAGCCAAGTTGTGGCATTGTCCTTCTCCTGCCTGAATAACTAACCTTCCCGCTGTGCCTTGCACAGGTCACCTGGTGTTTCCACAGCCAGTATCTCCTTTGACCCTCACAGCAAGCCATAGGGCAAGTTGTGCTCTTTTCCACATTTTAGAGTTGGGGAAGCCGAGATTCCCTGACATGCAGTAAAGTACTTCTCCAGGTCGCACACAAGTGGCAGCTGTGTTCACACTGTAAAAGGTAAATATCTGGTATTTGTTGCTGGTTCTCACTCAACTCCCCAGAGCCCCTGGAATTCCCACAGTGACAGGATTGTCTTGTCATTCTTAATAAGCCCTTTTTGACTACAACTGAGTTTATGCAAAAGAGGTGACTCTGGGTAGGGCTGGTCACAGACTTGTGATTAGAGGGTCAAAACTCTCAGCTCCCACCCTCTTCCTCCAGGGAGGGGAGGGGAGACTGAAGGGAGGGGCTTGTACTACCTGGAGGTGCAGGGAGGGTGGTGCACCCTTGATACCTGCCCTATGCATTTCTTCCATTTGGCTGTTCTGAGTTGGATCTGGTTTAGTAGACCAGTAGTCATAAATAAAGCACTTTCCTGAGTCCTGTGAGTTGTTCTACTGAATAATCAAACCCGACAGGTATTGTGGAAACCTTAGAATTGTTGCCAGGCAGCTGTGTCTGGAAAGGTCTCTCCTTGCATCCTTGGTGAAACCTCAGTCTGGATGGGGGAGGGTTCTTGATTCTGATAGGAAAGAATTCTCCATCAGGTTAAACAAGTGCCAGCAAGAAAGAAATTCATTAAAGCAAGAGTAGACACAAATAGCAGTGGCCATGCAGGCAGCAGAGCACAAGGAAGAACAGAGGGAGAGAAGGGAAGTTCATTGAACCCTGCTCGGCATGGGGCAGATCCCTTGCCAACTCCTGAAGCCAGGTCACCTGCTATCCAATGTCCACTTGATCTGCACAGTGAGGGAATTATTTCCCTACCACTGCAGAACTTTGGGGAGCCAAGGAGCACTGAATAGAATAAGTTTATGTTCTGAGAACTTCCACTTCCATATTGGTCTGAAATAAAACAGAGAGAAGAGGATTGTATTAAGACAGAAGGCTGAATGAAATAGCAAAGTGACAGAGACATTTACCATCAGAGGTGGAGGTTGGAGAGGTCTTGTCTTTAAAAGAGTTCAGAGGCAAGTGCAGTTGGCTTATGCAGCAAGGAAGCTTGACAAATTAGTACACACTCAAACAGGAGTGCTGGCAACCTTGGAGAGGAGACAGACTTAAGGGTTTAGGGTTTGCGATTTTATAGGGCTTTTTGGGTAGGGGGTCTGCAAAAGGCATGATGTATACAGGTGTTTCATGATTCCTTTGAAGTTTTGTCTTTAGAATAGGGTTATTTAGGTGACTGTGTTGATCCAGATCTCAGCATTCTTTATCCACATAGGTTCATTTATACTCCAGAGGTCTATCTCATCCTGGGTTACAGAATTACTTAATTGATTAAGTGTCTGGAAGAAGAGGAAGAACAGTGTATAGATTAAATTAAAGAATAAACTGGGTCTTTTTCACAGGCTGAGTTTACAATGGCATGGCTCTTGCCCCATTTCCCTGCTCTGTCTCAGAATGTGCACCTAAGTTGGACAGCAGTGTGGGTAGCCTGGGGACCCGGGACTTGTGGCTGGTGTCTGAAGTGAGGGCAGCTTGTGGTCCTGAACCCTTAACCTGTGGGGGCTGCGTGGGCTCTGGGTAGTTAGTGTTAGACTGAAAGGAACCATTGGACACCAGCTGGTATCTGAGAATGGCTATTGGATTTGGAAAAATCCACACACATACTTCAAAGCCCATGTTGTCTTAGCAGTTACAACATGTTTAAGTTTATCTTGTAGAAAATATTTGGTGGCTCCTGGGCTTTTTGTCCCCACTCAGTGAACACAGGGATTCCTGTATGTGTAGAGAGGTGAGGCAAATGCTGTCTGGTCCCATGAGCTGTTAGATTTCTCTATGTTCACAGCAGTGGTTTGAGGCACCCATCAGGCATTGGGAGCATTTCTCCTTTGTCAGTTCTGTTCCAAAATAGGCACAGATGAAGAGCATCCAGTTCTTGTTAGTGGAGTTGATGTGAAGAGCATGGCTTAGACCCCAGGCCAGAGTGAGGCTTCTGAATGCCTGGGGCAGAGTACCATTTCTACACACAGTTGGAGCCAGCAGCTGGGGAAGCAAATGAACATTTGTTGACTATTTGCTGAGCTTCATCAACCCTGGGCACTCACTTTTTCACATTTTAGTATCTCTGACACTGGGTGAATCTGACTGATGGCAAGTCATAATTTAATTGAAAATGCTTACTTCTTCTCAGCGATTAGTAAGATAATGGTTGCCTTGTAATTGAGGGTGAAATGTAGTGCTGTATTCTAGGCACTGGGCTGAGTGGTGACATGTCCCCCACTTGTATGTCTTCTATAGCCTGACTGCAGTCAGCCCTCATCCCCCTGTTGAGATAAGGAATAGACTTGTGTAGGTGAAGGAGGCTGCTCCGTGTCACACTGCTGATACAGAGCAGAACAGACTCTGACCTGGCCCTGTTAGCACTGCATGTGCCCTTTCCACTGCTTCCTGCTGCCTCTGCAGGTGGATCCTCTTTTTGAGGCGAGGCAGGCAGGGCTCCTGGGGTCTTGTTGTGACCCTGAGTCATTCTCGTGTGTTTGCTCCACTGGAAAATGGCTAAGTGCTAAGACCGCGTGCAGCCCTGATGTTTCCAACAATCCATAATTCTGTCCCTAGGCATGGGCTGCTGTCCTTCAAGTTTGGGGAGATGATGCCCTTCTTTTGTCACAGAGCAGAGACTCTGAGGCTGGAGGGACCTTCCAGATCGCCAGTGAATCCCTTTTGGTGGCAGCTCTCCTCCCCTAGCAGTTCCTCCGTCCAAATTCTTTTCATGCAGTTACAGGGGTAGGGGAGGTCAAAGTTTCTTTCTGAGTCTTTCGGGCCTTGGTGGTTTTCAGCTCAAAATAATCTGCATGTCACAATTGCACGTCTTGGGGTGGCCTGACCTTGGTCCCTACACTTAGCCGAAGCATATGAGACTATTACTAAAAATTAAAATAATTCATGTTAAAGGACTATTTTAAAAGGTGAATATTACCCATTCTTATTTTTCTTAATGTCAATTTATCTTTTGGAACATTATTAGCGATCAGAGTTAATATTTGAAAACAAAACAATATTAATCTAGTATTAATGACTGCCTGACACTAATCTGAAGAGAAAGTTCTGGGTTTTCATTAAGCTATAATGCACAAATAATGTACCCAAGTAAAGGGTACAGTTCAGTGGAATGCCATGTGGTATCATAGAAAGACACTTGGTTTTTGTCCCATTCCTGACACAGTTTCCAAATCCCCTGAGCATCTTTAATCATTCATAACAAGCCCTTCCGACCTGAGTTACATTAAGGTGGTGACACTTAGTGGGCTGCTAGATAACCTTCGAGTGGGGCTGGGGGCCAGCGAGGCCAGCTATGGTTAGAGGGTGGAGACTGAGTTAATCACCAGTGGCCAAGAATTTCATCAGCTCCATGTCATAGTGAAATCTCCATAAATACCTTGAACAGTGGGATTTGGAGAGTTTCCTGGCTGGTGAGTGGATTGAGGTGCGGGGAAGGTAGCACCCTTGAGAGGACATGGAAGCTCTGAGCCCCTTCCCTAAGCTCTGCCCTGTGCATCTCTTCCTTTTGGCCATTCCTGAGTCATATCCTTCAGAATAAACCAGTAATAGTGAATAAAGTGCTCTCCTGAGTTCTGTGAGTCATTCTAGCAAATTATAAATCTAAGGGAGTATTGTGGGAATCCCCAAGTTTACCAAACAGAAATGTGGGTAACATTGGGACCTCACGCTTGTGACTGGCTGCTGAAGTGAGGACCCTTGACCTATGGGGTCTGATGCTAACTCTGGGTGGTTAGGTTAGAACTGAATTGAATTGTAGGACAACATTAGTTGTTAGAATTGGTTGGTGTGAGGAAGAAACCCACACATTTGGCATCAGAAGTGTTGTGAGTAAAAACTCACACTCCTCTCACTCTCCTCCTTTTCTTTATTGTGGTGAAAGATGCACAGTGTAAAATTTACATATTTAAGTGTGAAGTACAGCAGCTTTAAGTACATTCATGAGATGGTGCAACCATCACCACCATCCATCCAGACAACTTTTTCATCTTGTAGAAACAAAACTCTGTACCCATTAAATAACAACTATGGCCAAAAGACATGTGAAAAGATGATCAGCATCACTAATTAGGGAAATGCAACTCAAGACCATGATGGGACACCTCATAGCCGGTAGGATGGTTGTCAGCCAAACCAACCAAAACAAGCATTGGCAACAATGTGGAGAATTGTAATTCTTGTGCACCTTTGGTGTGTAAAATGGTATAGCTGCTGTATGGCAATTCCTCAAAAAATTAAAAATAGAATTAAGATCAGTTCCAGCAGTCCCACTTCTGGATATATGTCCAGTGGAATTGAAAGCAGAATCTCAAAGAGATATTTGCACCCCCATGTTCATTGTACGTTATTCACAAGAGCCAAGAGATGGAAGCAACTCAAGTGTCCATTGATGAATGAATGGAAAAGCAAAATATAGTTTATCCATACACTAAAGTGCCCTGGAAAAAGAAGGAAATTCTGTCACGTGCTCCAAGGATGGACCTTGAGGACATTATGCCAAAGGAAACAATCCAGTCACAGTAAGACAAATACTACGTGATGCCACTTCTATGAGATACTTGGAGTAGTCAGTTTCATATAGACAGAGAGAGGTGGGGCTCTTGGAGGAGAGGGAAATGGGAGTTGTGCAGTGGGTACAGAGTTTCAGTTTTGCAATATAAAAAAGTTCTAGAGATCAGTTGCACCACAGTGGGAATGTACTTATCAATGAGAAGTACTGAGCACTACTGAACTGTACACTTAAAATGGCTGAGATGGTAAAAGTGTTTTCTTACTGTAATAAAAGCATATATATTATACTTAATAAAAGTATAATATTAAAATTATTAAAGCTTTTTGTGACTACAAGTCCTAAGGGTTAAAAATATCTGGATTGAGTTATTATGATTGTTACTATTACTATATAGATAATCAAATATATGATAAATTTTGATATTTGATATGATAAATTTTGATTAACAAAAACTAGAATTGTATTAGAAATGTAGAAATGAACACCTCCCCCTACCCCCCAGCTCTGGGCAGCTGGTATCCCACTCCATCGCTGTGCATCTGATACCTGGTGCCTTGTGTAAGTGGAGTCACACAGATGTAACAGCCCGTTTCACTGAGCATGATGACAATGTCCTGGAGGCTCCTCTGTCACATGTGCCAGCATTTCCTTAACAGATGAGGAGTCCCACAGCTGGCTTGGCCCTGATGGAAGATGAGCCAAGCTGGGCTCAAAACACGTTCTCATAGTTTTCCTCTAGGTTCTTCCACCCCCAACTAAGCTCTCTTCTGCCTCTGTGCTGAGGCCAGGGTCAGGGCCAGCGTGGGCCTGAACCTCCTGCTGTCCTCCTGCAGGTATTATGGTGGGACTGAGTTTATTGATGAGCTGGAGGTCCTCTGCCAGAAGCGAGCGCTGCAGGTCTATAAACTGGACCCCCAGTGCTGGGGGGTCAATGTCCAGCCCTACTCAGGTAACCGCCACGTGCAGACGGGCCTGGGTGGTCCCCCGCCTCCCAGTGTCCCAGGGCTGAGGTTCACAGGGAGGATGCCCAAAGAAGGCTGCCCATACTGGAAGTAAAAATAAGCTCAGTGCCTCCTGGCTGCACCCGCCCCTCCTGAACAGCACCCTGCAGCTTACTCTCCTGGGGTTTGGTGCCCAGGAACCTCCAGGGGCTGGGGGAATGCTTAATAGTGCCAGGCATGTTCTGACCTCCTGGTTGGTGGCCTGGGGACACATTCTGGGGCCTGCCTGGTGCCTCTAGGGGCAGAAGTAATCAAACCTCCTCTGGGCTGCCCCTTGCAGGCTCCCCTGCAAACTTCGCAGTGTACACCGCCCTGGTGGAACCTCACGGGCGCATCATGGGCCTGGATCTTCCCGATGGGGGCCATCTGACCCACGGGTTCATGACAGACAAGAAGAAAATCTCTGCTACGTCCATCTTTTTTGAGTCTATGCCCTATAAGGTGAGTGTGGATCTCTCCCCATAGCCCTCTACCCATCTTCTTAGAAAGCCTCCAGTGTCTGCTCACAAGGAAGTCTGCTTTTCACCGTTTGTTATTTCCCTGCCTGGGGACTCCTCAGGCATGCGGGGCAACTGGTGGCAGCTGGGCAGGGAGTGAGGGGCCGCACTGAGGCACAAGGAGTGAGTGCAGGAGGTGTCAGCTGCAGCACGGACCCTCTGCATAACCCTCTGGATGAGAACAGCGACAGGATAACTCCAGGCAGCCAGGTCAGCTGCAACTGGATGCCCGGCGACAGCCTGCTCAGAAGCGCCGTGGGCCAGCAGCTGCATCCCCGTCACCAGCACACAGCCCCCTACAGCCCCGTTAGTATGCGGGCAGTGGGAGGCTGGAGCCCCTTGCACGCCTGCCCTGTCCCTGCCACTCGCTGAGCACAGGCCTGTCCTCAGCCAGCCACAGCCAATATGAGCTGTATGCCTTGCATGGGACCAGCAGGTATTTATGTGGGCCCCCTGCCATTATAAACAATTGGGTCAAAAATGCATGTAATATTGGTGGACTTGTGGGCAGTGACTGACCTATAAAGATGATCAGGGGATGAGTAGAAAAGAGGTAACCTGCATGGTGAAGCTGTGCACGTGGGGATTCCTCCTCTGTCCTGTGGCGTTTGCTGTCAGTGGGCACTTCCTGATTAGTGTCACGTGTGCCACCACAAGCAAAGGTGGTGGGCCATCATTCTGCCTGGCTGAATATCAGGCACATCATTTTATTCGAAGATGATAAAGCTTGTGTCCTGTCCGGCATTCCTTGCCCTTTGTGCATGCTGTCACATGCACTGTGTGGGCTGCAGCCCTGTTGGGTGCCATGGGGAGGCCCATCTGGTGGTGGGCCTGCAGGGGTGCAGAGTGGCGGAGCCAGGCACCCTAGCCAGCTTGGGCAGCAGGAGGCACAGCTACCTGCTGGAGGGGTGCCTGGGAGCAGTGACCTTGGGGGACAGGGAGGAGGACACAGACCTGACTGGCCTCCACCAGCAGCCACCAATGGCCCCTCCTTAGCTCCCTGCACAGCCTTTCTCTAGCCCCTGCCCTCCCAATCCCCATGGGAGTCTCTTGCCCTCCAGGCAGCTGCCCCACACAGGGCCAGGCATTTCATCTCTATGGAGAAACAGGCACAGGAACCTTCTGTCGCCTACCTTCTCCTCTGTGATTAAGGAATCCTCTGGAGGCCCCATGCAGCTGAGGGGGACCCCTCCTGCCTCTGCACTGCTCTGCCCCCACCTCTGGTTTTTTAGAGTGCCTGGGAATTATTGCAGGATGTTTTATCATCAATATTCAAGATTTAAAAAACTTAAAAATCCCACAAGTTTAAAAAGCAAAATGTGGAGGGAGAGAGTAGCAGCAGATTTTTTTTTGGCAATTATGTCTTTTAAATTATTTTATAGAAATTTTGTCCATTTTTTTACTGTGGGTCAGCTGATGAGTTTTCATCAAGATAATAGTTTCTTTGCCAAGTTTACCAGTTCACACCCTTGAAACAAAACACACAAGACCGAACCACAAACCCCCCTCCACCTGCCTTTCCAGAGTTTGCCTCTGTTCCCAGAGCCTTGCACACCAGTTTCTGTAATTGTGTGGAATTGTAAGCACATTTTTTTGCTATTATTAATGTATAATTACATGAGCAATATGTTTACTAGACTCCCCATCACCAAGTCCCCCCCACATACCCCATTACAGTCACTGTCCCTCAGCTTAGTAAGATGCTTTTGTATCACTACTTGTCTTCTCTGTGCTATACTGCCTTCCCTGTGCCCCCCCCTACAGTATGTATGTTAATCGTAATGCCCCTTTTTCCCCCTTATCCCTCCCTTCCCACCCATCCTCCCCAGTCCCTTTCCCTTTGGTAACTGTTAGTCCATTCTTGGGTTCTGTGAGTCTGCTGCTGTTTTGTTCCTTCAGTTTTTCCTTTGTTCTTATACCCCACAGATGAATATCATTTGATACTTGTCTTTCTCCACCTGGCTAATTTCACTGAGCATAATATCCTGTAGCTCCATCCATGTTGTTGCAAATGGTAGGATTTGTTTTCTTCTTATGGCTAATATTCCATTGTGTATATGTACCACCTCTTCTTTATCCATTCATCTACTGACAGACACTTAGGTTGTTTCCATTTCTTGGCATTGTAAATAGTGTAAGCACAATTTTTTATTGAACAGGGTGACCACCGAATCTGAACCTCTCTCTCCCTCCAGGGGTCAGGGGTTTCAGAATGTGAGATTTCTCTCAGGTTGCCTCCCACCTCTGGCTCCCATGGCAAAATTTTTCCTACAGTAACCCCTTTATTTTCATTCCCCTTTGTACAGATGCTTTAATACAACTTTAATTAGCAGAACTCTTAAGAAAATGTGTTGCCAAAAAAAATTGTGTAGCATCTTGCATATAGACTAACCCACAATCCACCTGGAACTGACTGCTGTGTGGGGCAGGAGGCATCCAGATAACATTTGTGCCCACATGGATATCCTGCTGACCCTGCACCACTTTGTGGATAAAATGAGAGTTCCTGTGACCAGGATTCTCACCTGGCCCTGGTTGACTAGCTCACTGCACACATGTGGGCAATACATTGCTACTGACTCTATATAAGGAGCTCTGCCCAGTGCTCTGGGCAACACGGTGGCATGGCTGCAAGGCTGCAGGAGAGCAGAGCAGAGGCTGGAGTGGTGGCAGCGCTGAGGACAGATGCCCAGAGGATGGCTGTGCAAACAGAGGGGCCCAGAGGCAGAGACTGGCTTGCTGCATGCAGACTCACTCTGACTGAACAAGATTTTAGTAATTGACCTGCCACCATGGAAATAAAGTTGGGTATAACCCTTTCACCCCAAGAACGTTTTACTGTCATTTTTTTGGTCACATTGAATCCATAGCGAACTTGCTGGGGGCTGAAACCCATTGGCAAGACACACGTATAGGGAGACCGTCCTCTCCCTGCAGGGCCACCATTGTCACAGGTCAGGCAACCATCTCTCCCACAGAGTTCTGTCTCAGGCGCTCTTCTGAGTGTCTGTCCTTCCACAGGCACTAACTGACTTCCTTACTCTCTGTTTTTAAATATCTCTCAGTGTTTGTGCAGAGGTCTTGTACATCTTTTGTTAGTATTTTATGGTTTTTTGAAACTAATATATTAAAATTTCATTTTCTATTTTTTGCTGCTTATATGCAGAAATATAATTGATTTTTGTTTTCCGACCCTGATACAGTGATAAATTCAGTTACTAATAGCTCACCTCTAGAGGTTTTTTAGGTATACAATCCTTGTGTCTGTGAGCAGTGCCAGCTTTTTCTGTCTTTTAATCCTTATGCCTTTCTTTTCCTTGCCTTGTTGTACCTGGACTGCAGTGGTGTTAGGAGGCTCTGGTCTCGCCCTGAAGTGCCATAGCGCCTGCATTGTGTGGTGCATCCTGTTTCATTCTGCAGTGGCTTTTGGTTCCTGCTTGTCCCGGTGGAGCCCTGAGGGCAGGCACTCACTCTTCCACTGGGGTCCCCCTCAGGGCCTCCCAGGCCAGTGTGCTACTCCGCGGTCTGTACCACTTGTGCAGGCCAAATACACTGACCCCATCTCGCCCATGAGTCCTGGTCTGGACCTCTTCCCTGTGCTCATGCTGGAGTGGAGCAAGCAGCCAGGGCAGGTGGAGGGAGTCCTTTTGTCCTGGATGGCCAGCACCAGTTCAGCTGAGTGGCAGGCATGCTGTGGCTGGAGGGAGTGCCCGAGCTGCTGTCTCCGTTACATTCCACAGGTGAACCCGGACACTGGCTACATCAACTATGAGCAGCTGGAGGAGAATGCCCGCCTCTTCCACCCGAAGCTGATTATTGCAGGTGATGAGCTGGGCGGATGGAAGGCAGCTTCCTAAGCATAGTCTTTTCTTTCAGGACAAATATCATTTTGCCACCGTTAGAACCCAGTGGGGTTAGATGTGAGGCTATTCTCAGAGAAGCATCTAGAAATGTTGATCCCTGACTAACTGGGGGTGGTGATCAGAGCTGGGGGCCATCCCAACCACCATGATATTGATGGGGCAAGTCAGGGTGGTCACCTTGAGCACAAAGATGTTTTTCAAGGGTATTCTTCATTTCTGTTCTCAGAGATTCTGGAGGGAGATATCTCCAAGCTTTCAAATAAGCATTTTCAGAGGCCACTTTGCAGGTCTGCATTCAGCTGGCCAAGGATATCTCTGATTCGACTGTGTCACCTTTGCCATCTTAGGAACCAGCTGCTACTCCCGAAACCTGGACTATGCTCGATTGCGGAAGATAGCAGAGGACAACGGGGCATACCTCATGGCCGACATGGCGCACATCAGTGGGCTGGTGGCTGCTGGCGTGGTGCCCTCCCCGTTTGAACACTGCCATGTGGTGTGCACCACCACCCACAAAACCCTGAGAGGCTGCCGTGCCGGCATGATCTTCTACAGGAGAGGTGTGCTGTGTGCTCCTCAAAGTGTGGAGCTGGGCTTTGCCTTCTCCATCCAGCTTAGGGACTGGGAAAATCAGGATCCCTTGAAGATAGTAGGATTCCTGAAAGAGCTACTTTGCAGGGGGCAATGGCAGGCTGTACAGAGGGATCTAGAAAGCCCTGAGTACAGCTCTTGCCTTATTCCTTGGGTGTCTGGGTCCCAGGAAAGGAGGAAGAGTATTGTGCTCGGTGTCAGTGTCCTTCGATTTCAACTAATCTTCCCCAATGGGGCGTGCATGGAAGATGTGCCGGCTGGCAGAGGCTACCAGGAAGCCTCATGTTGCGGCTCATTTTGGTGAACTTACTTTGGTCTGGTATGTTTATCCCAGAGAAGGATTCACAGTAGTCAAACCATAAGGTGCTGGTATATAAAGTGTAGTACCAGTTAAGCCACTTTAGTGAGAAATTTCTGTTGATTGCATATAAACCCTTTCTAAGGGCTTCTTTTATTTTGGGGTTCCCATTCCTGGGAAAGCCAGATGAGTGATCAGATCACTCAGTCTGTGGTTGAGACTGGATGCCCGTAACCTTGCATCAGCAGAGAAACCAGCCGCCTGGTGACTGGATTTCTCTTACTTCCCTGCAGTCTCTGCACCCAGCCTCTGGCTGGACACAGCCATGTGTCCATTTGGCTCCTTGATGCACTGTTGCCTCTGAGGACCTTCTGTAGTTGCCGTTGACTGTTCTGAGGCAGGTAGCCATTCCTAGCTGCCTGAGAGGTGTTTGTTTCTTCCCATTGTGTGTTGTTGTGTTTTGTCTGATGTAGCCAGCCTGTGCGAATCCCAGCTCTGCCATTGACATGCTGTATGATCTTGGGCTAGTTGTGCAGCTTTCTGTGCATTACTGCCCGACCTCCAGGCTGGGGATAGTAATTAGTACCTTTCCCTCTGGGCTACCGCTGTAAGGATTCCATGATTTACATAAAGTACTTACAGCAGTTCCTGGCTTCCTAAAAGCTCTGTAGAGACAATAGTAGTTACGATGACTGAGTATTAACTTTCTGGCAGAGGAACCCGCTTGTTACAGCCATTGTTATTACATAATTGCATACATCATAGCCAAATGAGTTTCATCTCCTTCAACATAGTTAGCTTGGAAGACCGCTCTCTTGCACACTTTGAAGAAATGTGCCCAAGGCATATTCTTTGTTACAATCTCAATGGAGGGAAATTGTCATCGTCTCATTTCATGTATGAGAGGGTGGTCTGCCTCCCAACGGATCAGGGGCCCCTCTGCTCTGCTGCATCATGACCAGATCTCGCCTCCAGGAGTGGCGGCCAGGCTGTGCGTAGTGCCTCATAGCCAGTCTGGATGTGAGTCAGGCAGGGAGAAACCAGAGGGGCAGTCCAGCACACATTCCCACTGTGATGTTTCCTGCATCCAGGAGTGCGCAGCATGGATCCCAAGACTGGCAAAGAGACTCTGTACAACCTGGAATCACTCATCAACTCTGCCGTGTTCCCAGGCCTGCAAGGAGGTCCCCACAACCACGCTATTGCTGGTAAAGTATCACCAAACCCAACCCAGAGCCCTAGGTGACATTTGGGGGTGCACCTTCACCCTGTGCAGTTTGCGGTTCTCCCAGTTTTGCTCATCCTGTGGCCCGATTCCCATCCCACCTGACTTGCATGCTAGGGGGAACTAGAGGAACATCTTGTCTAGGAGATGCTAACAAGGAAGAAAAGGGAAATGGGTGATTGGTGTGAGGCAAGAACAAGGGAGTGATGGCCACCTTACACAGATGGCCAGCCCTGGGCAAAGCTGAATCTACCAGGTTCTCTTAAGTGTGCACAGTCTCTTTGGCTAGCCACAGGGGAATTTGACAATCAGAGAAATGCAGAGCAAAGGGCATGTGGGATTCATATCCAGCCCTTCAAGAATACCAGTCTCTCCCTGACCTTTGATCTCCTGTCCAGGTGGAGACTAAAGGGTCTGACTTTTGCCCCGTTGACCTTGCGGCCACACCAGTAACTTCTGGATCTGATTCCATGATCACCTGGCAAGCTGTCATTGACTTACTCCTTCTCTGTACACGTGGCTTAGAAAGTCTGTGATGATCTTAGTTATTCAGCTGTCTTTGGGACAAAGTAATTGGTAGAGGAGCCCAGGACAAAGGGTAACTTCTCTTTCAAGAGAAGCACTAGTGTTTCTAAAGTAGGAAGTGGGGAAAGCAGTGAGTGGTGAATTATAGGCATAGCAAAGGGGTGTCCACAGGGGTGTTTTCACATTCTCCCTTCACACCTGCAAGGTTAGCACCCACAGTTCCTTTGATTCTCGGATGATGGGCATTCTGGGCCTTTTCCAGTCACTTCCACAAACACTGAGTGGAGACTTCCATGCCCTGCCTCAGGGTCTTGCATTCTCCTCCATGCTGTACCCCCAGAGCAGCCCCATGGATTACACAAGGTACAGTCTAGATGTGCAGGGTGGAGCAGGCCTGCCCCTCACCTGGACTCTGATCAGGAAGATCTGCATGTTTGGCAACAAAGCAAAGCATTGGGGGCAGCTGAGTTACTGTTTTCACATACTGCATTTAAAAAGACTGGGGAGCGGAGGTGGCAGAGCCTGGACTTGCTTAGGAACAGCTTTTCTGTGGTGATCTTATTAGTGTGAAATTTCCATGCCTGGAGAAAGGCCACCTCAAAAGCACGTCCTCAAAGAGAAGAGGTCTGGAGGTTTAGCCAGGTAATTGTAGGGTTAGAAATACACATCATTTGTCAAGGAGGGCCTGCAATCCACCCATTCAGCGATGTTGAAAACCAAGGATGCCTGAGTGAAGTCATGGGGTGTTTTTTGACTCACAGTCCGTCTTTGGAATCTACCCTGTCTTCCTGACCCCAGTCTTCCCGCCAGGGGTTGCTGTGGCCCTGAAGCAAGCCATGACTCCAGAATTCAGAGTTTATCAGCACCAGGTGGTGGCCAACTGCAAGGCTCTGGCTGAGACCTTGATGGAGCTGGGCTACAAAGTGGTGACAGGTACCAAAAGAAGGGTTGGGCGGCTCCTGCTGGCCCTGGGGAGGTGCCCCTGCTCCCTGTGGTGGTACTAAGCCTCATGCCCCAGGCCATCAGTCAGGGTGTGGCCCGAAGGGTGTGCCTGCAGCTGGGGGTGAGCATAATACCTCCATAGGAGTCTTTGTGCCCCTGGCAGCCTCACCCTCCTTACAGATGCCATCTGCCTCCCTGAAGGGGCCATGGTGATGGTGATAGCAGCTGCCATTTGTCACCTGGCATGTGTGACCACAAGTCCTCAGAATGGCTTTTGAGGAAGGAGTACCTGAGGCTCAGCTGAGAGATTAAGTACCAGTGTCTTACGGTGGGGCTGGGGGGCGGAGGAGGCAGAACCTGGATTTGAACCAGGCAGGACGCAGCACCCTCTACAGCAATGCTGCACTGTCCCTCAGAGAGTCTCCACTCATCCCTGAGTGCATCAGGCCCTCCCACTGGGAGTCCAAGGGGTGTTTGCTGTATCTGTGTTTGCTTTAATACCAAAGACAGTGGTGCTGAATGACCCCAAGATGGGCTTCCTGGGGAGGCCCGCTCAGGGGTGCCATCCACTTCAGGCCCTGCAGCCTCACACGGGTAGGACATTTTCTTCCAGGCAGCCTACTGTTCCCCCTAGGACAGGCAGCTTTATTTGCCCACTCACAAGGCCTCGTGTATGGGGTGGTTTGGGAGGTGGGTCCTGGTATCCTTGGACTCCCTGCCCACTGCCCTTTGGAGGGTTCACAGGCCCGGGATGAGGAGTTCCCCCACCACACCCCTAGACTTTGTGTTGGTGGGCAGAGCTGGGGCAAATCCACCTTCTCCCAAGTCCTGGGACACCTGCTTCCTGTGTCACTTCACTTCCTTTCTTTCCTCTCTCCTCCATCCTCCGCATCTGCCAGTAAGAAAGTCCTAGGATGTGAACTGGTCCCTTAGGCCTTTTTTTCAAACTTGTATGTGCACATGATCCTGCAGGCACCCCATTAAGGTTCTAACTCTGCAGGTCTGGATTGGTGTCTGGGTCCAACCAGCTCCCAGGTGACACTGGTCTGGGAACCACATTTGGCATCCAAGGAGTTAGGCCTCAGAGCAGTCCTGCACTGCCTGCAGCCCCCCAGGGAGGCTCGGGAGCGGAGCCTCTGCTTTGCTGGCCCACCCTCACCTAGTTCCCTCTGCTCCGCACCCACGATGCAGCAGCCGAAGCAGCTCACGAGGACACAGTGATCACAGTGGCCAGAGCTCGTGAGCACCTGCTTTGTGCCTGGCGGTGGCAAAGTGCTATATACAGTACCTTACTTAGACCTCACAACAGCCTTAGGAATTACTGGTCTGACTTTACAAATGGCATCTGGGGTTCCAAAGTGTCGAGCTGCCTAAAGCCATAGAGCCAGTAAGTCTGGGGGTGGGCTGTGACTTAAGCTCTGGGCTGTGGGGTCCACAGCTAAGTGTTGGGTTTTGTCCACAGCTAAGTGTTGAGTTACTTCACCCGCATCTTTGAAGTTGTTGCCCAAGTCAGGGACCCGGGATTAATGAGAGTTCAAAATGGGAAGATCAGGTGCTTGGAGACTCCTGGGTGGCTTTGGGCCAGTTCCAGAAAGTCCTTGTAGCCTTGATATTCTTATGACTTTGATAACACTGGCCAACCCCATGGGATTAGGGATAAAATGTGCCACAGGCCAGCAGTGTCTGACACCTGATGTGTGCTTGGCAAATGGAGTAGTTACCCAACCTCTACTGTAGATTGAACCACCTGCTACTCTGGTGCTGCCTTAGAGGGAGCCTTGGAGGTGGACTTCAATGACATGTGGGAGATTGCCAAGTGGTTTTTTTCAAGAAAACAAGCCACAAATGGCACTGATCAAGTGGACAAGCTTCCAGGTCTTGCTCCAGTACCTGCCATGTTGGGCCATGGCAGCCTCTGGCTGCTGCCCCACAGCCTCACAGCCCTCCTCTCCACCACTGCATCCCATTTAAACTATTCTGTGCCTTCTTTCAGACTCCTAGGCTCTGGGGCATCTTTTCCCTAGGTGATTAAAAGCCTTCCGGACAAGGAGTGTGCACCTTCCTTATCCCATTTGCTGTAGCCTCCATCCCCACCCTCGTTTCTTAGGAGGTGATTCCTTCACTGGACAGGAATCGGCCTTCTGCATTCCTACCTGTCCAACTTGTTTCCAGGTGGTTCTGACAACCATTTAATCCTCGTGGATCTCCGATCCAAAGGCACTGATGGTGGCAGAGCTGAGAAGGTGCTAGAAGCCTGTTCTATTGCCTGCAACAAGAACACCTGCCCAGGTGAGTCTCCTCCCTGGTCTTCTCTTCCATACCTCCCCCATTTGCATCTCTTCTGGCCAAAGTTAGAGCTAATGGTAATTTGATTCTGGAGATAGCTATTAAGTGATTTGGGGGGACAGACAGACCACGTGGGAGGGGAGCAAAACCCTGGCTCTCTCCCACCTGCTCCTTGTGATGCAGCTGCAACCCCACCAGGGACAGGGATAGGCAGAGGGGAAGTGAGTGCTCTGAGGTGCTAAGGCTAAGGATGAGGGAAGCGGGCCTCTGGAAAACAGGCTAGATTTCTCAGCGGGTTGTAAATGTAACCTGGGCAACGCATCTCTTCCCCAACAGATGCTAGCCCCACTTTTGGGAGTGGGCCCATCACAGAAGGCAACTTTCTCAGCATTTAAAATAGAGCCCCCAAAGGGGCAGCTGCCTCCTGTGTCTTTGCTCCACCTCTAGCATGGAACCTAGCTGTCAGGAGCTATATGGAACCACCGTCAGCAGGCCAGCTCTTTGCCCAAGTGCCCCTTTAACACGCACAGCAGTCAGCGCTGAGTGCAGTATGACCCCGAGACAGACCCTCTTTATCTTGAAGGTGACAGAAGTGCACTGCAGCCCAGTGGACTGCGTCTGGGGACCCCTGCACTGACATCCCGAGGACTTTTGGAAAAAGACTTCCAAAAAGTAGCCCAATTTGTTCACAGAGGTAAGGATAAAGGTGTGGATGTTTGCGGCATTGGACTATGTGCATGGAGCTTCCAACTGTGACTGACCACTGAGACCCAGTCACTGAAGGACACTTCTGTGTCGAGGCCAAGTGCTGGGGACAGGAGACAGCAAAATCACTTTAGCAAATCATCTGGTTTGAGAGGCTTATAAACGTGTCCTGTCCAAGGAGGGGTGCATTTGAGATCACTTCTGAGGTGAACATCAATACCAACAGCTGTCATGCCCCCAGCTGCTGGCGGCATTTTGGCAGCAGGGCCTCGGTGTGCCCGGAAGGCCGGCTGAGTGGCTAGCCCAGAGCCGACTCTCCTTTCTGTTGGCACAGGGATAGAACTGACTCTACAGATCCAGAACGACGTTGGTGTCAAGGCCACCCTGAAGGAGTTTAAGGAGAAAGTAGCAGGGGGTGAGAAGCACCAAGAGGCCATGAGGGCCCTCAGGGAGGAAGTGGAGAGCTTTGCATCTCTCTTCCCTCTGCCCGGCCTGCCTGACTTTTAGAAGGGCTGCCAGCTCACACCTGCCCCAGCACACCCACCCCAGGAGGGGAGCGCCGGACTGCCCAGGACCCAGTGCCCTTCTGAGGAGAGACAGAAGAGATGTCCCAAATGAGGTCTGACCTGGTCAGCTACATTGTGCTCCCTGAGGGAGTTTCTTTTTGGATTTTTCTCATATTCACAAATCAAAATTGTGTTAGTAATTCTTGAGTTATCGAGGAGTTAAATTTGATCCTCATTTTCTCACAGCTATATATGTAGTTATTTTTGGAAAATGAAATACCATTTAACCTTAATTCATTTAGACAGTGGTATAAGGCAAACTATTGGAAAGGTTCTAGTAAATTTACTCAGCCTTCTCAAAACTACTGGGCTTCCCGTCTCACTGCCTATTCTAGGTATTTTGTTACCAAAGGGATGCCAAAGAACTGAATTATGCCCATTGCAGCTGGAAAGGGAATTATCCTGAAGCTTCTGCTATGTGTCTTCAATCAGAATTGTAAGTTAGACAAGTCTATACAAGGCAGCACCAAGGATGTGGGAGGGTCCCCCTCGGCTCCAGCCTTGGGTGGCGGGAGAGCCTCGGCAGCTCAGTCCCGTCCCACAGGGGCTCTCCTGCCCTACGTGACAGACCCAGCTCCCTCCTGGAATCAGGAAACCAAATTTCCCCTTCCCAAAGAAATTTTATTTTTCACAAAGCTGAAGTGCAAAACATAGGTGACCATTTTTAATAAGCACAAATTTTTAACCACAGAATGTCTACAAGAATTAGAGCTTTAAAAAATACAACCAATTTTTATATTTCAAAAATATCCAAACTCAAATAAATTAATTTCTTAAAAAGTGTACTTCATACTATTTGTCTGGCATTTTCTCTGGTTAAACCCCAGTGCAGCTGCCTCTAGGAGCTGCTGTCACGCACATGTCCACCGTTCTCTCGTGTCAGCCATTGTAACAATGACCGCAGCTCATGTGGTGGTAGGACTCACATTCACACACAGGGACAGAGGAACATGCAGTAACAAAACAGCTTTCCAAAAGATAACTAACATGAATTCCTCAGACTGTACCTTTCACTGCAACCTTAAAGGTAGCATTTATTTAACCCGATCAGCCAGTGTTAGCCATACTGGGCTCCTACCTGCAAGGTGCCCCTGGGATTGAACACCTGGTGGCATTTACTCCAGCAGGGGTGGGGTTTCCACCCCACTGCCTTCCATTTGGGAGCTATTCTGCCAAAAGTCTTACATTCAGGGGCTTGAATCCTCTCCAACTGAGGAAAAAGGAAAATCTCTAAGAGCCTTGTTTTAGCCTCCACTTAGGAGCTGAATAGTCACTCCCAGGAAGCCAGGGCCCCATACCAGCAGGTTAATTCACTGCCAGGTGCTCATTCCAGCCCCCTCTCCACCCCCACTTCCTCCCTATGGCCATAGCTAGACCTTAATAGACAGGGCCAGATTAAGTCAGTGATCTAAGGAGAGAAGGGCTCAAACCTTATCAGCTGAGACTGGCTGTGCTTCCAGCCAGCAGTAGGAATCTGGTGCTTTTTCCTGTTGGCAGCTGTTCATACCATATACCTTTGAAAGGTTCATTCCAGTTTTATCACTTTCTACCACAGTATTGGGCAAAGGCCAGAAAGCTGGCTGGTTTGCTTCTAGTACCAAGGCACTTTCTTCTGAACTTTCTAGGGAGACAGGAAGTAAAACCTGATTGCTGGCTTGAGGAATCAGTTCCTCTGAAGGCCATCCAAACCTGCCCAGCGGTGCATCCCCCACCAGCTGAGCAGACTCATGGGCAGCTGGCCTGCCATGCAGCATCAGGCCTGGGTGTGGGGCATGCAGCCAGCCCTGGCACAAGTTGGTGGGCAGTTTGCATGCAAGATCACCAAGACCACTCCTAGCTTCCAGAAACACGTCACTGAAGTGCAGTGACCCTGGTGCTTGGGGTAGAATGTACTGGCCTTCTTAGGCCAGTAGATTTGGGATTTGAAATGGGATTTACTGTTTGTTTGGGATTGAAATCTACTATACTTTGAATGTAGCAACAAGGAAGTTAAAAGGTAGATGGAAAATGACAGGTGAGCTATTACGGTTCACTTCCAAATTCTGGTACAATGTGTAACTGCAGCCATTGCAGAAAATTATGGCAAAGTCCCAACTTCTAAACCCAAAGACCCCACTGGAGGAGCACAGTCCCTAGGGGAACGGTGAGGCAGTGGACAGCACACTGACCAGAGCGCCTGAAGCACTATGAAGCCTTTGCTCATGTCTAAGCAGGGCTTCCGGAAGTCACCACTGTGTAACTGCCAGTCTGCTCAGGTTTCCTAGCCCAACCGCTTTAAGGGGCTGGGGGTGATAGAGAAAACCTCAGGTGTTTTACTGCCCGGCCTCCAAAGTGATGGGCCTTAAAAAGTAATAAGGGGCACTGACACCTCTATTTTCTGGAAAGTGTTTTTAAAAATGTTTTATTGACCAGGCGGAGAAAGACAAGTATCAAATGATTTCACTCATCTGTGGAATGTAAGAACAAAGAAAAAACAGCAGCAGACTCACAGAACCCAAGAATGGACTAACAGTTACCAAAGGGAAAGGGACCGGGGAGGACGGGTGGGAAGGTAGGGAGAAGGGGGGAGAAGAAAGGGGGCATTAAGATTAACATGCATTATGCGGGGGGCATGGGGAAGGCTGTTTAGCACGGAGAGGACAGGTAGTGATTCTACAGCATCTTACTACGCTGATGGACAGTGACTGCAATGGGGTACGTGGGGGGAACTTGGTGATGGGGGGAGTCTAGTAAACATAATGTTCCTCATGTAATTGTAGATTGATGATACCAAAAAAAATGGTTTATTGAAGCTTATTGACTTATTACTAGAGAAAAACCTAAAATGAAAACTCTTGAAGAGATTTGCCTCACTGAAGAGGGCTCCCCACCATTAAGATTTACAGACATGACTTCTCATAGGTTCCCACTTTCCAAAGGGGTAGGGGGTGGGGGGCAGCCTCTCAGGCTCAGCAACTGGCTCTGCCCGGAGTGGCTCAGTCCTAGTACCACTGTAGGATCCCTTTGAAAAGAAACATACTTGGCATCAAGCAGTCCTTTAAAATTGCCACACTGAAAAGTCAGATTTTAACCAAAATTTAAGTCCTGGAGTTTAACCACTAGTTCAGTGAAGCCAACTTTACTTCTTCATGAAGAATTGACTCAAGTGACACACTCCCCATTGCCCTTCCTGTGATGGGCCCCGTGGGACAGCTGTTCTGCTCACCCCCTCCTGGTCTCTGGCTGGGAGGCCAGAGGCCCTGAGCTGTCACCCCTGAGGCAGAGCTTCTGAGCAAACAACCTCCCCAGGACTGCCTACTTCTGACAATGGTAAGGCGTGGCTTTGGCTTCCAGAAGTCCAAGGGTGACTGACCTGCCCTAATCAGTGTTAACACAGGTTGGTGTGGAACAGGAACAGGAATAGCAGCACTGTGCCAGAATCACGCATCCCTGTCCCTGGGACCCCATAGACCTTTCCTCCCTTGGAGATCAAATGTCCTAAGGTCATGTTCCTGGAGGCATAAGTAGAGAGCAGTTAGCCAGCCACTAGAGTTAGAAACTAGAGTTAGAACACAAGCAGCATCTTGAACATGAGGGAGGCGAGCCAACAGAAGAAACAGGCTTCCGTGCAGCCCTCCCCACATGCAGAGACACACTTCACATTTAAAACTGGCCGAGACATCCTGGTTACTCTTCTGTGTGTCAGCACGTCCAGCAGGCACAGGTGCAAAGGAAACCCATGAGTGCAGGCACCATCCATCACAAAAGGCTACCCATCACAGCCTCAGAAGCAAAGTCATACCTCTTGATGCAAATGGGGACTCTGGCCAGACAACAATTGCTAGAGGCCAACATGCCATATCCTTGTGCAGAGGACCTGCCCAAGGGAGGGACCACCACAGGAGTGGTCACAAACCCTCCTAGGTCAGCAGGGCTTTCTGCCTCCCATGCCTGACCTCAAAGGTGTGCCACAAAGCTGATGGGTAGACCAGGTCTCAACAGCATGACCCCAACTACATGGAACATGGTGCCGATAGGTGCACATACATGTGTGCTTAGGAGCAACCACTTCTTGCTTGCTTGGGTCTGTTTTATCACAATTTTCCTGGAACAAAATTAAAATCAGTAATACTAAGTCATCTTACTTAGGGGAAAGAACAGCCATAACAAAAATACATTAAAAATCTTCAAGGTTGCAAAATAGAGGGAGGATTAAGGATGGCGGCATGAGAGGAGAGACAAAAGATCCTCCTAAAACTGTATACAATTAGAAAATATAGTTGGTGCAACTAATCCTGAGAAAGCAACAGGAAAGAGGACGGAGTCAGACTGCACACACCTGCAGAAAAGAGCAGACCTCACCGAACGGGGTAACGTACCAGAGCTGTGGCTCCGCAGGACCCGAGCCCCTCCCCCACCTCAGTTCACCGGCGGGAGGAAGAGAAATGGAGCAGGGAGGGAGTGGAGGCCTGGGACTGCTGAATACCTAGCTCTGGAGATCTGCTCTGGGAACACAAACCTACATTTCATGGTGCTTTCATGATACATGATTACAGGACTAGAAAGCTAATACATGCAGAATTCCTGGAGAGACTGAAATTCCAGCTGCTTGTGGAAAGCAGGGATCCATATCCGGCTGCTCTGGGACAAAAGGTTATACCTGTGTTCTCGACCCACTGGCTCAGGCAGTGGAGACAGGGACAGCAGCCAGGAAGCAGGAAACAGCTCTTTCCTCCCCTCAGGCACCAATACTGCTCCCCTGCTCCACCGAGGGGCTGAGCAGCTCCAAAGTAGAGCTTCTGGACACTAGAGGGTGCCATATGCAAATATGAAACGTCAAAGGAACCTGGTCCAGAGTAAAATTAATATAACTCCAGAGAAAGATTTAAATGACATGGACCTTATGACTCTTCCTGAAAGGGAGTTCAAAATAAAAATCATCAACATCCTAATGGAGGTACGGAAAGATATCCAAGAACTCAGGAATGAATGCTGGTTGGAGATCCAATCGTTGAAGAGCACAATGGAGGGTATTAAAAGCAGGCTGGATATGGTGGAGGAGAAAATAAATGAAATAGAAACTAGAGAAGAGGAATACAAAGAAGCTGAGGCACAGAGAGAAAAAAGGATCTCTAAGAATGAAAGAATATTGAGAGAACTGTGTGACCAATCTAAACGGAACAACATTCACATTACAGGGATACCAGAAGAAGGAGAGAGAGAGAAAGGGATAGAAAGTATCTTTGAGGAGGTAGTTGCTGAAAACTTCCCCAATCTGGGGAAGGAGATACTCTCTCAGCCATGGAGATCCACAGATCTCCCAACACAAGGGACCCAAGGAAGACAACACCAAGACATATAGTAATAAAACTGGCAAAGATCAAGGATAAGGACAGACTATTAAAAGCGCCAGAGAGAGAAATAATATCACATACAAAGGAAAACCCATCAGGCTAACATCAGATTTCCCAGCAGAAACCTTACAGGCCAGAAGGGAGTGGCATAATGTGTTTAATGCAATGAAGCAGAAGGGCCTGGAACCAAGATTACTTTATCCGGCGAGATTATCATTTAAATTTGAAGGAGGGATTAAACAATTTCCAGATAAGCAAAAGCTCAGAGAATTTACCTCCCACAAACCATCTCTACAGTCTATTTTGCAGGGACTGGTATAGATGGAAGTGTTCCTAAGGTTTAATAGCTGTCACCAGAGGAAATAAAACCACAGTAAAGAAAGTAGAACAGCTAATTACTAAGCAAATGCAAAATTAAATTAACTATCCCCAAAGTCAATAAAGGGATAGACGAAGAATACAGTATGATACCTAATATATAAAGAGTGGAGGAGGAAGAAAAAGGAGAAAAAGAAAAGAACCTTTAGATTGTGTTTGTAACAGCATATTAACTGAGTTAAGTTAGACTCTTAGATAGTAAGGAAATTAACCTTCAACGGTTGGAAACCACGAATCGAAAGCCTGCAATGGCAATAAGTACATACCTATCGATAATCACCCTAAATGTAAATGGACTGAATGTACCAATCAAAAGACACAGAGTCACTGAATGAATTAAAAAGCACAACCCATCTATATGCTGCCTACAAGACACTCACTTTAGACCCAAAGACATACACAGACTAAAAGTGAAGGGATGGAAAAATATATTTCATGCAACTAACAGAGAGAAAAAAGAAGGAGTTGCAGTACTTGTATCAGACAAAATAGATTTCAAATCACAGAAAGTAACAAGAGACAAAGAAGGACATTACATAATGATAAAGGAGTCAATCCAACAAGAGGATATAACCATTATAAATATCTATGCTCCCAACACAGGAGCACCCACATATGTGAAACAAATACTATCAGAATTAAAGCAGGAAATAGAATGCAATGCATTCATTCTAGGAGACTTCAACACTCCACTCACTCCAAAGGACAGATCAACCAGACAGAAGATAAGTAAGGAGACAGAGGCACTGAACAACACAATAGAACAGATGGACCTAATGGACATCTACAGAACTTTCCACCCAAAAGCAACAGAATACACATTCTCAAGAATAGATCATATACTAGGCCACAAAAAGAGCCTCAGTAAATTCAAAAAGATTGAAATTGTACCAACCAGTTTCTCAGATCACAAAGGTATGAAACTAGAAATAAATTAAGCAAAGAAAATGAAAAATCCCACAAACACAAGGCTTCACAACATGCTCCTAAATTACCAATGGATCAATGACCAAATAAAAACAGAGATCAAGCAATAAATGAAGACAAATGAAAACAATAATTCAACACCACAAAATCTGTGGGATACAGCAAAGGCTGTGCTAAGAGGAAAGTATATTGCAATACAGGCTGACCTCAAGAAAGAAGAACAATCCCATATGCGCAGTCTAAACTCACAATTAATGAAACTAGAAAAAGAACAACAAACAAGGCCCAAAGTCAGTAGAAAGAAGGGACATAATAAAGATTAGGGCAGAAATAAATAAAATAGAGAATAAAACAATAGAAAGAATCAATGAAAGTAAGAGCTGGTTCTTC